TGCTTGTTTTAATGTTACAATTATCAATTCACTTTTCAAACGGCTGTATTGGCCTCTGTGGTCGAGAGGTCTAAGTAGTACATCTTCTACAGTAAATACCAGCTTGTCAACAACGAAGTTTTGCGTTCCACCTTCGCTCGTGGCAATGTGTGTTTCAAAGTACACTAGATTGGACAGTTTTCATGCCGGAAGTCGATGGTACTTGGCTTTCTCCACAAATACAATCTGATATATCCAAGTGCTCTGGAATTTGCGTAATACTCAGACAAACAATTGTCATGAATAGTCGGAACTTTCGAGCAATGCATACTTTCTACCGTGTATTGATCAAATCTGCAAACGGATGAAAAAAGGACAACCTTCATTGATCTTTGTTTTATCTTGGTTGCACTGCATATTATTTGATTTTTTCTAATCTGTGTTTGAGATGTACTGACAGTTATTATTTGTACTCCACATGATGTACATATTTCAAATAGTCTGATCTCTGCTCGACAAAATCTGGGCCGTATATGAACAATTTTTACCAGTGCAATAGCGAACACGACACAAAGAGTTTTGAAAACAGTATCTTTACGTTTTGGTAAAATAAAGAGCCTGCACAATACTTTACAGATAAGTACAATTGGTATGTTTAAGTGTATGTGTAAGCGTACTTTCATTCCACCGTGTATGTATTCCGGGTAATTGTTTTTCACTAAAGCATATTGGATTTAGATAGTGTGAAAGCGTCGATCTTGATATCGTTGTTTTGTTTATATTAGACCGGTTTATTGTTTACATAAATAAATCGGTTAAAATTAGGATGATTTTCAAGGAACCAGTTTAATTAATCTGAGTCAATCCAGTAAATAATATTGATGATGATGATGAAGATATTTTTATAACTCAAAATACTTTATCAATGATCAGGACATTGAACTTGATATAAACCAAATTTAAAGAGCAGATTTGTTCTTATGTAAAATACGAGTGGAAACAAGTGTACAAGTAATATACCAAAGTTCAGTTAATCCAGATAATTCCACGTATAGCATAGATAGACTGAATATCATTTGAATCCCATAAACTCACAACAGAGTGATGTCAAGTGCGTTGACGGATTTGGCTTCCTTCTTATACATTCATTTACCATCACCCTTTTCCAATAGTTGCACTCAAAATTGTCAGGAGAATGACAAAATATTATGAGATTGGCCTTTAAGTGACATATGATAAATTGGATAGATGTTCGAATGTCAATAGTGAGTTAAGAAAACGAGATACTGTCATAACTAACGATTTCATGATGATAAATGTTTTATTGAAGCAGGTAATTTTCATTCTTTGGAAGACAGGGTGAAAAAAAAATTGTTTGATACTTAGCCCCAAAAAAATGAAGACAATACTTTATAAATTGCATGCGTCTGAAGCGCTTTTCTGAATTTTCCTTCATCACGCACCTGCAATCATGACCAATTTGATCATTCATTGTGTTTTTTTTAACCAGATTAATTCATATCAATTAAACTCCTTCTGGTCAACATTTAGCATTACATACTTGAATATCTGTTTTAATTATTATCAATTAGTAATAAGTAAAAGAGATAACTTATTGTATTGAAACTTTTTGACTGTGAATTATCTATATGATTATTATTGTTTTGTTCCTTACTCTTTGTTGTTTTGAAGACCTTTGCTTTTGTGTTACTTGCTGTCATATCACTGTGTTACCTATTCGCTGTATTTCCATTATATATGTATTGTTTTATTCACTAAATTTTCTCTATTGTTGAATACTGAAGTTAATGAAAGCAAGATTTATTGAAAAATGGTGAAAACAGTGATAGTCCTTGTCTGACGATTGTACAAGTTCAGATAGAACTGTCTCTGTTCTGTCGCTCGGGATAGATAATCTCCATGGGCTTTAACTTTTTATATTTTGGAGTTGTTGGCCTATCCATTGTTTATTTTATCAATAAAATGCTCTGCAGCATGAAGATATTTCAACAATGGCTTGCGGAAACAGTAACAAAACTGGATTGTATTAAGGCAATACTAATCAACAGGAGCCGAACGCCGTGACATTAGTTTAAAAAGAGGTGGAGGATACTAAAAAGACATTCAAAACCCAAAATTTGAGAAAAAAACTGATTGTTCCATGACAACAACAAAAAACGAAAAACGACGACAAGACAAACAATAGTCTACATAGAAAACTGAAGACTGAACACGAACCCCACTACAAACCGGATAAGGCATCACTCATTAAAGATTGGTAATTAGATCTTATCAAACCATACAATATCACTTAATTCGTAAACCATGCGCTATGCATATTCCTAGCCCTTAAAACTGAACGAATGTGAAATTTCAAAATTGAAATACGTTTGTCAGGACAAGGACAGACGATACTGTTACCGAAAGAAACAACACATCCATTAGAAAATAAAAAAGTAAAAAGTAAAAAACTAAAAATGTAAGTCAAAGTAATACGAACAACATTTTAACAAAACTAGGGATGATCGAAGGTGATCAGAACTGATAGACCTATCCAGCTATCGTGGGGCACTCTTCGTACGCGTGTTGCTCATGATAAGCTCAATAAGTGTCATTCGTTGATGTCACATTCGAGATACGAGGACAAGATCTATTTTAATATTGTGGTTACGACCAATGGACTATATTCGTGGTAATAAGATTTTCAATAGCGATAAACCAACTTGTGACAGCGTTTTTTTAATCTTTCAAGGGACGACTTCAACTTTACTTCTTGGAACCTTTAGATCAATAGTTCCCTTATATACAGGAACCCTCTATCAAGTTTATCATAACCGGAAACACAGGCGCTGGAAAATTGAATCAACTAAAAGATATAAACTACATATGCAGGCCCTGCTGGAATGTTGCTACATAAAAATAAAAAGTGCAATATTTGGCAATCGAAACATTTTTTTTTGTCGTAACCTTTTGTTCACAATCAACCCCTAATGTCAATTTCTAGATGTAAGTAATGATAAGAAGCGGACATAACTGTATCTGTGGTATCCCTTATTTCAAGTTCGATGGGAGAGATGCATTCAACATAATCACCAAACTTGTGAGAGGACATCATTTATACATATATAGCGGAACGTGAATGAAAAGAAAATGCTAGATCTTTTTATTTTTCATAACAAAATTTCTGTATGAAGTTGTTTAAGGAACAAGTTGACAAGAAGATGAGCTCAGTTGGTTCCCATAGGAATGCCAATTTTATTAAAAACGTCCTCCATAAGTAACAAATATGCCATCAATAAAAAAAATTCAGAGATCTTGATGATGTTGGTTTCAGTTATTTTTGTATGAATCAGAGTGGTTTTTAAAAAGTATGACTTGCACTTGGCAGTCCAAGCAATATAATGTTGTGTTTATGTTATTTTTGTATCCAGCATAGCAAAGGAAGATCCAGTGCTTTATAGATGGTTCAAATTCCAATGGAAAGTACGAAAAGTACGCATTGACAAAATATATATCAGACTGCATAAAATGTCAAAAGAGGATTTAATCTTATGTACTGATTTTTAAAATGACTAATCAGATTATTGTACAAACTCTCATGAAATATTTCATGTCGCATCTTCATACATTGGACGCAAACAGAGGTTGAAGTCACTAAAAGGAGAAGCAGCACAATAGATTTTCTAAGGTTCAAACACATAATATATAGAATATAGAAATTAAAGTAAAAAAATAATACCTGAGGGAATTGCATGGACTGCAAATAGATCAGGTGTGTCGACAAGGTAAAATTTTCCGGCTATGCATACATCATCCGTCACACAATAGACGTTCTCTATAATGTCAAAATAGGAAATAGGATATATTCGGTAAATCAGTCTTCTATTATTCTGGTATTAAAGTGTGACCCACACTTTATACTTCGTTTGTGGTGTCCTGGTGTACTGTCATATCCATGGGAGGTGTCCGTTGTTATTCTTTGGTTTACATGTTGTAATGTACTATTATATTATTTATTTATGTATTTCTCTGTCCTGAGATTTCTTGCGTTTATTTGTACTGTATTCATGTCACGTAATGTTGTCATTTTAGCTGTATTTGTTAACATTACCATATAAGCAGGAAGTTTGACTGGACATAAAACCAGGTTCAACCCACCATGTTTTCTTAAAATGTCCTATACCAAGTCAGGAAGATGACAGTTGTTATCAAAAAGTCCGTTTCAAGAATGCTGGGGTTTGTTTTTGTTGCAGTTCAGTGTTTCTGTTGTTCCGTTGTTTTCCTCTTATAGTTGATGTGTTTTTCTCGGTTTTAATTTGTAACCCGGATTTGTTTTCGCTTAATCGATTTATGACTATTGAACAACGGTATACTGCTGTTGCCTCTATCTAAAGATCGATACAACATGTCTCGTGTTAGATGAGTCAAAGATCGTATCAGTCAACCAATACGTAATCGAAAATCAAAAGTCCAATAAAAACAAAACATGGCCAAAAATAAAAATGGGGGAAAATACAATCAACAATTATAAAATATTACACAGAAAACAAAAGATTGATTAACTCGGTGGTGAATTAATGTCATTTGGAAGTGTAACAATTCCTGCCAACACGTGGCACCTATCGTATTGCTCAGGGTAGTAAAAATCCGATGATAAGTCGCTTTATGTAATATTTCACTCGGATTTTTCACAACTTTTGTTTGTTGACTCTGAAAGATATGGAACGAGAAATATTGTGTATACATTTGTCTATCGATTACTTTTAGTTCTTTTTGTCGTTAGTTTGCTGCCCATTGACCCATTCCCTTTTATTCATTATTACTACATAATGCGATCACAGACGCAAAGGATTAGTTGATATGTTCTGTGTAGTTATGTTATTAAATTGAGATGTGAATCCTGATGTTATGTTTCATGCTAGTAAATAGTAGCAATCCTATTTGGTTACATGGTTTAAAAAATTGATCTCTTTTTGTTTACCATTGCGGTGATCTGTCCATTTATCTATACCACACATATACTTTATTCATATATCTTTATTCGTATTTCTTAAGAGCTAAAGAGTCTTCGGGAAATTTTCAAAATCAATTCTATAAATAACTCTATTGTTTCGTCAATATATACTTTATTCATGTTATTCATCGACTGCTTTACTATTTCTTTTTGTAATACATCTTTTATCTAAAAAAAAAAGAATCAAAGAGTTTAATATTTAACCAATATAAATCCATACATTTGTTAAATATTCATGTACAATTTAACAAAAATGAAATTTTAAAAGTTTTAATTTTCTATGCCTATCTCATGAAAAGTATACTTTGCAATCTTATTTTCGAATAAAAGTAATAAACTGTCACGCGCTGTACCTTAGAAAAAATTATGAAGTCACGCCAATCTCGTGATATAGCTCTGATGGCATGCAACATAAAATGTACTTCATGTTTTGTTATTAGGAATTGAAAAATAAAGCTTCTTTTTTAAATTTAAATATATTTGCACATATGAAATCATAGAATATTGTTTAGAAATGTAGTATTTTTTTCTTCGTGAAATCAAATAAGGGCTTAGTAAGAAGCTCTACTGAAATTTATTGTTCAATAAATGAAACAGCCACAGATAAAGTACCAACCTAACATCTTTCTTGCACACAAACGGATGTAAATATGTAGTGCATGGAAAGTCGTGCCATTTACCACTGTCTGTATAAAACATGCCACAATTTTCCGCTGCATTTCCAGGTTGGTCAGAAGACCAATTGAAATACGTAGTAGGAGCATAATCAACTACATTAATCCAATGTTTCAAGTCTCCATCCGTAATACCAAGCCAAAACCTTTTCACGTCTAATGAACAACAATTTGAAATGCATATTAGAGATTAATTAGTCCCCGTGGTGTCTTCTCTTATTTTCCAAAAAAAAACTATCTGCTTTCTATTACTTTCAATGCACTATTTTTTTTTAAATGGGACTTCAAAAACTGTTTTTATCTTTTGTAGACTGTAGTTGATTCTTTTATTGATGTCTGTGTCTAATTCTTTCTTTCTTTTTTGTTTTAACTTTAGATGTAATCGTTTATTTTTCTTTTCGACTGTTGCTGTAATCATTTATTTGTTTTGCTTTTTGGCTGTTGTTGGTTGTAATCACAGCTATTTTTTTAATTTTAACCGTTGGTCTGTGGTTGCCAATAGGGTGTTTTGGTTTTTTTTTTACTAAAAGAATATGCGATCAATGTGATTTAAAAAATCTTAGAGATGAATTTTATTGTTTCTTTTTATTTACATATGTTTTATTTATTACATGTAACTTATCTTGACAAAGGTATATCAGAATAAAGATATATAAATAGACAGGTTGTAATCAGCTACCTTTCACTTTTTGGCTGAGGGCTGCATTCTTTTATGATTTCACACTTTGAATGTTGCTGTAATCAGCTATTTTTCGCCCCTAATTATTTATTCTTTCAAATTTCAACTGCGCTGTAGTCATTTGTTTATTTATTTATTTATTTTTTTACTGTAACTGTAGCATTTATGTTTGCCTTTTGACCCTTGCTATTACTATTCCTATATTTTTACCTTTGAACTGTGACAGTAACCAGTTATTTTCGTCTATATCTTTTACGTTAACCAAAGACGAGTCTTCTTTCTTGCAAAATCTCTAAAGATAAGAATAGATAGTTATATGCAACTGCGCGACAATCAGTGAATCTTAAATTAGTATAAATAAGGAGTCCTAATAACGTGGATTAAATCAATTATTTACTGTACATTGTTTAACATTAAATAATTCAAAATGTTATGCACAACATATGCATGTCTACAAAAAATGTATACATAAAACCTACGAAACTACAATAGTATGGCCACAATCATAAAACCAAGGTTTATTAAATGTAATATACTATCAGAGCACGACCGTGAAACCAGAACAGTTCCTGGGAGAGACAATCCTTAATTTTGAAACGAATAACTTACATCGAACAAAATACACACCATATGTAGTAATTTAAAGCCATTAAATAAATGTTATCAAAAATCCGATCCGAAACGATACTTTACTCAAATCAACATCTTTTTTAAGACATATTGTGACATAAACATTTAATTTATTTTTCCGTTCCTCGTATCTTAAGTACACGCATTAACTGAAAGGTCTAAAAACAAAATGAAACAAGTGTGGTGACTTTTTGCAATTTTCATAAAAGTGATATGTTTAGAGGCATCAAAATAAATATATGAAACAAAAATTAATATTATATCATTACTGTTGCCTGACTAATTGGTGCCTTGTGAACATCTGTAGAGAGTTTTATGTATTGTAATTTTACAATCAAAGGGTCAAAAAGGCCCTTGTAATACTTCGTATAAGTTTTTAATTATTCTTTATCTTCTCCCGGAGAATTCTGCTAATGAATAAATATCACTTAAATAATAGTAGATTTTAATATTCTTGAAAGTCATACCTCTCCTTCAAACCACGTTTTCTTGTCTTTAACTAAATAATAACAATGGTCCCGGAAAGGCTTCCAATCTTTATGGCATCCACCATTCAAAACAGTATATTTCGCTATATATGAATATTAAACAGGACTTAGTTTTTCAATTTGAGGTTGTGATCTAAATTTTATTTATGTAATACTGTACCTTTATTTCATTTCAAAGATGACCTATAAACATGCCAATTTTTTATTTAAATCTTGCTTTTAATGTAAAAAGGAATATTTATTGACTATATGCATGTACATGATAAACCCTTTTGATCATATGACATATTCTGAACGACTTAGAAATATGATAGTAGGCTATGTGAAAGTTCTAACCAATACAATCCATAACGACTTTGTTAAGTTTTTTTAAGCTTGACAATGACAAGATTGAAAGTTTTGATATTCAATGTGAATTATGAAGTTAACTCGTTTAGAATACCTCAAACGTGTCAAATGAAATAATCCTTTTGAAATAATGACACAAGTCATGTCTTCTTTGACTGTCCATGGCGTTAAAACACTAAATCCCTGGGATGTGTTTTAATTGATTTAAGTCTCTGATGCATTATTTTTTTATTATTTTGTCTTTTAACAAGCTTTCAGTAACTGCGAGTACTTTCAAATCGTACTTTCGTGTTAATTTGACCTGATGACACAATTTATAATGCATTTTTGTTATTCAATTTTTACTTATTTTGTGTTATATCTCGTCTCACTATTTTTAATATGTACCACCTTTGATGAGTATTTAGTATTACGATAAATTTTCACTTCTGTATTCGTACTGTGAACAACAAATTTATTTATTTTGTAAAAAATGTTTTTGTACTCCTAACAACAAAATTATTATATTTAAATTTACATGTGTATGTGACTTCATTTAACGTCATTTTGGCCCAGGTTAAAGTTGTCTTTTTGACATTGTTCTACATCTTTTTTTATTAATATTGTATCTTTATTGTGTCATAGGTCAAACTTATTCGTTCAGTGTATGTTTACTTGTTTTTGTTTATATGCCTTTGTGATCGAATTAAGCCATTTCAATTGATAATTTATAGTGTGTCTTTTTATTTTGTAATGTTACACTACTGTTTCATTTAAACCCGCTGCATTTGTATGCACCTGTCCTAAGTCAGGAACCTGATGTTCATTGGTTGTCGTTTGTTGGTGTGGTTCATAAGTGTCTCTCGTTTCTCGTTTTTTATATAGATTACACCATCGGTTATCCTGTTTGAATTGTTCTACACTAGTCATTTTGGGGCCCTTTATAGCTTGCTTTCCGGTGTGAGCCAAGGATCCGTGTTGAAGGCCGTACTTTGACCTATACTTGTTTACTTTTTACACATTGTGACTTGAATGGAGTGTTGTCTCATTGGCACTCATACCACATCTCCTTATTTATACCTTTGTTTTATAGTTTGTATTAACGCTGTCTGTCGGACCGGTTATAAAGTATAACCTTGTTTCTAGGATTAACAAATTTGCCATCCTTTTTTTACCTCTTTTAAGTATCAATTAAATAAAGATCAATTTCTTTTAAAACATATAAGTCGCCTGACTTGGCTTAGCATAGTTCCAAATTTCTATAAACTCATTTCGGAGAAAATACAGAGTTAAAAATAATTTAAGAAAATGTCCAATCTATACTTTTAAACAAGAAGACCTCATTTTGTGTGTCGCTTCTCTTCCTTCCCCAATAAATTAATCATCATGCCTCTGTGTCCTATAGGTACTATGCATATTCGCATTTGTCATCCATTCTTATGCTTATTCAGTTCGGGTTATTTTGGGAGAAAAACAAAGAAAAAGGCGTCCGGATATTGTTTCCGTCATCAGACCGACTTTTAAATCATACCCAAAACTTCCGATTTTAAACTTTAAAAGAGGGGTAAAGGGTATTTTCGTGCAGCGTGTTTTACCACTTATTAAACGAGAAGACCTCATTTTGTGTGTCGCTTCTCTTCCTTCCCCAATAAATTAATCATCATGCCTCTGTGTCCTATAGGTACCATGCATAGTCGCATTTGTCATCCATTCTTATGCTTATTCAGTTCGGGTTATTTTGGGAGAAAAACAAAGAAAAAGGCGTCCGGATATTGTTTCCGTCATCAGACCGACTTTTAAGTCATACCCAAAACTTCCGATTTTAAACTTTAAAAGAGGGATAAAGGGTATTTTCGTGCAGCGTGTTTTGCCACTTATTAAACGAGAAGACCTCATTTTGTGTGTCGCTTCTCTTCCTTCCCCAATAAATTAATCATCATGCCTCTGTGTCCTATAGGTACCATGCATAGTCGCATTTGTCATCCATTCTTATGCTTATTCAGTTTGGGTTATTTTGGGAGAAAAACGAAGAAAAAGGCGTCCGGATATTGTTTCCGTCATCAGACCGACTTTTAAGTCATACCAAAAACTTCCGATTTTAAACTTTAAAAGAGGGGGTAAAGAGTATTTTCGTGCAACGTGTTTTGCCACTTTTTATTTCACGTGCAGCCGTGAAAAAGGTTCGTTATTCACCGTGTTTCTTGAAATCGATAAAAAGATCAACGTGCAAGAAATTTTTAATTGTTCGCTCATCGTGAAATGGCAATTTAACTTCACGTTCTTCCGTGCAGATACCCCCCCTTTTTTTACTCCCCTCTTTAAACATAATTTTCATAATTACTCGGGGACAGGACAATTATTTTCGCGTTATTCTGCATGTATACAATGATTATAATCCTATAATATATAGAGACTCTCTTTTTAATATAGCAGTGATCGCCGTGGAGAAGCAACTTGGAATTGATAGTTAATAGCAAATACACTTTATTTATATTATATGTATGTTCATAGTATACAGAAACGCGAAAATCATGTAATTTAACAGAGAGCAAAAAAAAAACGGACTTTGGAAAAAAGGGAGAGGGCTTAAAATAATTGTCCTGTCTCCAAGTGCCTATGACTAAGTTGATACCTTTTCTGAAATTCTCCAGACATAAAATCTTTTACAAAAATTCTTCCCACAACAGTTTACATACTTTCAACCAAGCTCTAAATACCAGCGATTTCGCGGGTGTGTTCTAGTTAAATTTAAATCGAAAGATTGCTCAGACGTTTAAAATATCTACTTTCTATTTCACTACAAAAACCCTCGTATAAAACGTTAACTTACATTTGAAATAGCAAAAGATCTTGGTTAGTACTAACCTTTAAGGCCAGTTTTCAAAGTGTCGACAGATTTAGTGAAAGCCAGGATATGATATTGAAGTTGTTCAATGTTTTTACGTTCTTGATATGTGTAACAAGAATCAAGAGCATCAGCCGCCATAACAAACACCAACAAAATAAACAGCTTCATTCTTACCAAAAATAAAGAAGATAATTATATTAAGTCATTGGCTGCTGTCTGTCTTATTTGTTTTTGATTTATTTTTTTAGTTTGAATTATGCCGTTGTGTTTTTTGTTTGAATTTATTGTTTCAATGTTCCCATGTCGGTGCTTTTTATGGCCTCCTATACGAAATGAGTTTTGCTAATTGTTGAATGCCGTAAAACGACAAATAGTTGCTTACATTCACACCCTTTTAAATCCCAGGTGGTAGTTGTTAAATTGACAATCATACCACAACTTTCTATTTTTATCTGAATAAAATTAATTTCAATCTTAATATGTTAACATTTAACTCTGAATTCTATTTCTACATACGACTCATGGCGCTCGAATAAAACAGTTGGACGGCCAAATCAAATACAATGGTGAAGAGAATTAATAACCGCAAATTAAGTAAATGTGTTCTAAATACGAATAAGGTAATCTAACCCTGCGGGGAGACAAACATACGTGTTAAATCATTTACATTCTTTACGTGGCTTAGTGAATCGTTGGTGATTAATAAACCAATGAGTGAGCATTGATCAACTAAACATGATCAAATTAAAAAACAAAATGTTTACCGCTAAAATAAATGTTTGCACAAAAATGTATACATTCTATAAATCTAATTGAATGAAAACAAGATATTTGGTTAATTTCGTCCAGCAATTTTCCTGACCCGCAATTTTTGGACCATATACAACATGAGATTATTTCGACTGTTTTCGCATTTTGCAAGAACAGTAATTGCCTTCATTCGCAAACGGCGCTGAACATTTCAAAAACTTCGTTGTTAATTTCAGGTAAATGTCATATACAATGTTGTGAAGAATGTTCATATTGAGTTTCGGCAAAAAAAATTTGATAATTATAGATTAATAATAAAACTTACCTTATTTAACTAAAGTTGTTTGTATTTTTTCTGTGAAGAATATAACTGCTTACATCTACTGTACACAGTTTATCTGCACATGCCGCAGTCATTAAAATGAAATTTGATTTTACCGTAATCTGAGACAATAGTTGTTATGTTTTAAAATTTTATTTACTTGTAAAAAAGGTAGAACACATATCGATATTGGTTATTTAAAAGTAGTATACCGCTGTTCGAAATTCATCAATCGATTGAGAAAAAAACAAATTCGGGTTACAAACTAAACCTGAAGGAAACACATCAAATATAAGAGGAGAACTACGACACAACAGAAACACAACATTAAAATGTAACACACACAGAAAAGAACTATAATATAACAATGGCCATTTTCCTGACTTGGTACAGGACATTTTAAGAACAAATGGTGGGTTGAACCTGGTTTTGTGGCTAGCCAATCCTCTCGCTTTTATGGCAATGTTAAATATAACATTAAAATGACAACATTATATGACAGGACTTCAATACAAATAAATGGAAAAACATATAAGACAGAGAAACATACGAATAATAGCTAACAAAATGAACCAGGTTTAAAATTTAATACGCAAGACGCGCGTTTTGTCCACACAAGACTAACCAGTGACGCTCAGATAAACCAAAACAAGTACAAAGTTGAAGAGCATTGAGGACCAAAAGTTCCAAAAAGTTGTGCCAAATACGGCTAAGGTTATATGTCTGGGATAAGAAAATCCTTAGTTTTTAGAATAATTCATGCTTTTGCAAACAGTAAATTTATAAAAATGACTATATAATAGATATACATGATAACACCGAAGTGGTGACTAACTACAGAATAAAAACGGATACATAAAACAACATAAACCAGCACATAAAAATTCTCAGCCGAGTTAGCCAAAGAGATCAACGCAAACAAAGTGACGTCACATTTGAATTTCTGAAATTTTCCCAAAATAGGATAGAATTAGGACAGAATTCAAGATTTGGTTTATAATACTCATATAACATTTATTAATAGCAATGAAAATTACAATACTAATTAATATAAAATGTGGTAGTAATTAGATAAGCCAAATGACGTAAAATAAAAATGTTTGCAACAGATTCTTAATAAAATTAACTGCCTTACCCCTCTGCTAACATGTAATTCCGGTTTTTAGTATGGTTTTCGTTCCTCGGTTTTTGTTTCAGTGTTCGTGTTGCATAGGCTTTTGCACATGCTTTAGTTTTTCCTATGTTGTGTTTTCTCGACTGGATGTTTTTTTTTTTTTTTTTTTTTTTTTTTTTTTTATTTGCCCTTGTTTATAAACAAATCTTATTGATATGAAAATAAGGAGATGTGACGTGGTATGATTGTCAGGTAGACAATTATCCATCATATAATCAAACGGCAGAAATGAAAATATCTATAGGTCGCCGTACGGCTTTCAACAATGTTTAAACCAAAACCGTATAGTAAGTTATAAAAGGCCGAGACATGACAAAAACGTGAAACAATTTAAAAAAGAAAACAACGATTATTTTTTAATGTCTTCCTCCTTCATAATGTATATTATCCAACAATATTGTTAGGTAAGAATCGGTATGCGTTTTCAAATGACTGATTGACCTCAATGTGTAACTAGTAGTCCCTTGAACTGATTTTGAAATTAATAACACGAGGAATATATTAAAAACATAGATGTGTAGTAGTACGAATTTATAGGGTTGTTGTCAATCTTTTCTGTTTGTACGTCGTTCATTTTTGTTCTTGTTGTTGACGTTTCAAATTATTCTGTTTACAATTTTGAAATAAAGACTTCCACACTAATAATAACAAACAATACACCATATTCTCATTATAATGTAAACATGTACCTTGACCTATAATGGTTTACTTTTATAAATTGTAACTTGGATGGAGAGTTGTCTCACTGGCACTCATACCACATCTTCCTATATCTATGTGTATAATCTCGTGTTCCTAATCAGAAGGACTAGAAAGATCTTTCAAGCTAAAGGTTGTTAATGACCAAGAAACCATTTCTTCCTTTCGTAGTACAACTGTGATTCACGAGTACATTTTGTCGTCTACACTTCTGATTAGCAGTGGACCATCTTTTGACCAAAGCAGGTCCAGGTTTTAAATTGTTTGATGTAATTGTTGTACATTGTAAAACTGTTCAATCATTTACACACGAATAGTTGTGGGTTTGTATTAGATTTTGAAACACTGACATTATTATATCAATGTACATGTATAAGTTTTTATTGTCGAATTATTTCTGTATTTTTCTTATTGTAATAAAACTGCTTCAACACAGTTATAAGAAAGAAAGACGACTGAAATCGATGCTACGTAATTCTTACGATCACCATCACGAATTGGTTGACTGATACGATGTGTTTGTCTTTAAATTCACTAGTGACATGTTTTTCGAGGTCTTAGATCTTTGGATACTAGAACAGTCTGATCCATAAATTTACCGATTGTGTCTCAGCTGTGGAAGCGACATTTTAACAGAATGTGATTACCAATGGCGGGTGATGCATGCATACCAGGAGACATTTATCCTGCCAATGGACACGGTCTCGATTCATTTGGAGACTTCTTTTTTCTAAATGAATTTATAAAATTTGATCAAGAGTAAACGGCTGAGGCTTCTAATTCAATACTTTATCTGAAACGGGAATAGAAAGCGACGAATCAGGATTTGTCCGGCTTAATTTTCCGAAACGCATTATGACAAAATTGCATAAGATTATATTCAATAAGAGATCATTTCTAAGATTTCAGACGATACCATAAGGCTGCAATTTACTTTAATGAGTGTATGGATGGGTTTTTCAGAATAGTGAATAATGGACCAAATGTACAGAAAAAATCAACCCGAAAAATACAGAATAGAGAAAATTAGGGTAAACAGATATAATCTTAGAGTAGAGAATAATGGGTGCTAAAATATAAAGAATGGAAAATAATATGCAAAATTTATTAATAAAGAAAAATGGCTTAAAAATACAGAATTGAAGAACCTCCATTCAGACCCTCTTTAATTAAGGATTCATTTGTTAACGATATAGAACCACAACGAATTCAAACACGTGACTCAAACCAAAAGAGATATAGTTTAAATTGTTCAGATTGTTCTAACAAGCAAATTAAAGACCTTTTCATTTCATTTTTGACGTTACAAATTAATCATTCTTAGATGTTAAGGATGTTCGCTACTCTTGTTTTTGACTTTTTGTCAGATATTCAGAATCCACTAGTTTTTTTCCATATAGTGCGCCAATAAAATAATTGGCCGCTAACCCCTACTTTTCTATTCATAATTTTATTACTTATAGTTTAAAAAGCCATTTTTGAAAACCTTATAAAATCCTTGTTATTTTTTCATCACTTTTGAAAGAAAAATAGTGCCAATGTTAAATGTATGAAAAGTCTAGAGATAATCGTTTCCCGCCAAATTTTCTATTGATTACATTTCAAAAACAAGGACACAGACCTTTCATTTTTTTCTGCTTTTTAATTTCTATCATTTATAGACTATTATTATTTTATACCAGTCGTTTAAAAAGCTTGTTATTTTGAAACACACAACATCCTAAAGGCGTATTCAGTTGTATTTAACAGTTGTTTAGCCTCCAATTAATCCTTTTTTTTAATTTTTTTTTTAATTATTTCCGACAATTAACAAATCCATTCTTCATTTCAATATACGATTACAAATTGGCAGTAGAATTGCTTCATTTGTCCAGTCTGGCGGGAAAATTTAAATATACAAGATATCGGTAGATGTGTTTAAAAAAAGGACTGTTTTCTTCCTAACCCAGGGATATCTTTAAATCTGATGCTTTCAATCAACATATTGTTTTTGTAGAAATCATTTTTTCCTACCCAAGTAGTTCTCTATACTACATAAAGCCCCTCAAGCTTTGATTTAAGATTATTTTTTTTTGGACTTCCTCCCCGCAAAAATATAGGGGTAAATTTCTATCTATTCCGAAGTCGGAGAAATGGTTGTGTGACAAAAACGATTAAAAAAGTCTGCGTTTGATTTTCTTAATGTACTTCTCACTATTTTTGTAATTGATTTAACAGTTTTTAAAGGAAGCGGATCGATCACATTGCCGAACCTGGGCTTTACTTTTCTTACACATCTTCACAACAGTAAGATATTCACGTTCAAATAACTTAAAAGAGATTACTAAAAAAAAATGTTCATTATGGTTGGGTTACTGTCTGCTTGACATCTACCCCACATCTCTTTAAATGCATATCTCCATGGTATAGTCTATCGATCGTCTTTAATTAACACTAGTGACGCATTGAATTTATAAAGTGTTGTTTAATTTTTTTTTTAGTGATGGTCGTTTATGATGACAAACTGACAAAGCAATGGCAAAAAACGAAAAACGACAAAAAGACAAACAGCAGTTTAAAAAGCACAACATAAAAACCTAAATACTGATCAAAATGAATCCCACCAAAACAAAATCGGGGGTGATCTCAGGTGATCCTGAAGGGTTTGCAGATCATGCTCCACATGGGACACTCCCCACGGTTTTGTCATTCGCCCACTGTTTACTACACAATTATAATTCTGGTATTTTTCAGAGGATCATGTTCAACTGTAATGTTTTGATTCTTCTTTTATCAGAAGGTCAGAAAAAAAAGTATAAACTATAAAAAGTAAAATAACAAAAATACCGAACTCCAAGGAAAATTCAAAACGGAAAGTCTCTTATCAAATGGCAAAATCAAAAGCTCAAACAAACGAATGGAAAACAACTGTTATATTCCTGACATGGTACAGACATTTCCTTATGTAGAAAATGGTGATGACAGTCGCATAACATTGCATTATATTGACAACAATGTGATAACAAAACAAACGGACATAATGGGTAAAAACGTCAAAAATTAGGGTATAGCAGTTAACATTGTGTTATAAGTTTAATCACTATAAAAACAAACAACTCTGTCATCAAAGAAAAACAAAAACAGCACAAAGACAAAGTACACAAGTAAAAATGCAGACAAAAATACAAAAAAATGACCATAGCAAAATA